AACAACCTTCCATGGTGAAAATAAACATGGTAAACTATGTTGGGAGATTCGCAATTCACTTGTGATAATAAAAGTTTTGAAGTACACTAGTAAGGAGATGTGTTTGAACTCCCAGCATTTCTTAAACTCATTTTACATTGAATTCTCCTTCAAGGAATATATGAGACACCCTGACCATAAGGGCATAATTTGATAAAGGTCTTTCTGGGGTTGTTCCATGTTAAGGGCAATCTGTCTTTAAGTTTGGGAGCCTGCCCAGGGAGGTTTCTATGGCTCTGTGACATTTTTGTGGGAATTCCAGTGGGGTGGAGGGGACATCTGTGTTAGAAATCACCTACTTCCCCCACCCCCACTAATAATTGCAGTTCCAATACTAACCCTTCATTCCCAGCAATGATAAGACTTTAGGCAAAAATTATCCAAAAATTAGTTGGGGATTATCCTATCACCCATTTTGTTTTAGAAGAAGGGTTTTCTTCTTGGATGTCATATTCGTTGCATTTCTCCTTAATAAAGAAAAGAGAACGTGGTGGTAGCAGTCTTCCTGAATTACCTTGGGTGTCAGGGAAGCAGAATGGCATCGTGGTCAAGCACACAGACGCCGGGGTCTGAGGCCTTCACTTCCCAATCCTGCTGTCGCATGCATAGCCTGAGTAAGCTTGGGCAAGTCCCTCTAACTTGTTTATGGCTCAGTTTCTTTTTCTGCAAAATGAAAATAAAATAATAAAACTTACCTCACAGAACTGTGAGGAGTATGCGAGCTGAAACTGATAAAGTCCTCATCCTGTACTGGTGCTTTCCCATGGCAGAGTCCCAGAGAGCACTCAACCATGAGTTCTCATGTAAGAGAAAAGGTAGACTAGAAAAGCTGGGAGTTCTACCATCACCACAAAAAACTTACTATCTCTGAGTTGCCAGAATAATAGAGAAGCAGGTGAGAAAGTCTCGACCTGACAAGAACTCAGGAAAAACTAAGAGATAGAAGAAGAATTCAGCAAAGAACCAGGAATTAGGAATGGGCCCGTGAAAGGGCAGGTGTGTGTCAGGAGTATGTTGGATGTCACGGGCACCAATTTTCCAGTGACTTGGTGACTTTATCAGTGCATACGAATGGTTCAGCCTTATTATCGAATTGCAGAGTTAAAAGAAATGTCACAGATTAGCCAGCCTGAAGCCTCATTTGACAGTTAAAGGAACAGAAAACTACACCGGGAAAGCATGCCTCCAACAACCCATGGACTGTCAGACATGAACCCAGGCTCCTGGTGGTGGGGCCTGGACCGTTTTTTTGCAAATAAAACATGTCCTATGTGAATTTTAACAATCTCCTGCTAAGACAAAATTTTCCTGATAATACAGGCCCCATAGCATTGTCTTGGATGGATGCTGTGTGCTCTCTCAAACCCAGATTCTAACAAGTATCATGGGTCAACTCTCACAGTCATTGAGTGTCAGAATAACTGTCTACCAAGGGTGGGGTTAGAACTTCATAGTTGCCAAACTGTGAGGGAAACCTGTTCTATGTGTTGTTATGATAACATGGATTTTGTTTTCTTTAATTAACTTTATTGAGGAATAATTTACATACATTAAAACACAGATTGTAATTGTGAGTTTAGAGAAATGTATATTCCCAAGTAACCACTACTTCAGTCAAGAATTAGAATATTTCCATCACCCCAAAAAATTATCTCATGTGCCTTTGCAGTCAATCACCTCCCTCTGCCCCATACGCACGCCCCCAGCAAACACTGATCTGATGTGACATTAAGTTCTCGGTCAACCGAAGTTGGAATAATCCTGGCTTGCCCCAAGCACTGCTCTGGTGCCCTGGGGAAGAAAGGGCAACTCTGCGATCTGCTTAGGAGACAGAAGGAGGAAGCAGTAAAGTTGCAACGCCCCTTGTATGTCAACTAACGCCCAAATGACAAGGGATGAGGTGATCTGACAAGACTGGAGGTCACTGTGGGCCAACACAGTCAGGGAGGTCTTGCAGGTCTGAGGAGGGTCTGTGGAAGGTGGTAGGTGTGGATGGCTTAGTGTGAGAAGGGAGGGACAAGGAGGAGGTCAGGCAGCCCAGCAGGGGAGGAGGCAGCCAGGAGCTGACCTCAAACGTTCATTGCCCTTTCGTGAACTTGACGAGGAGTCCTCGGCCAGAGGCGGGTGCAGGATTCCTGCTGAGCAGCTGCAGGATGCGAGTGAAGTCTGGGATAGGAGGATCAGGTTGTTTCTATCATTATTGCATAATACAGCATATGTTGCATTAACATACATTATTTACTAAATAAATGCAGGTTTAAAAAAATGTCGGACTATGATCCTGCTGCCCTTTTGCTTTTGAAAATGGCCTTGGTGCCTCTCAGCCCTTGGCCAGCCCTCCTGGGCTTCAGGGAGCTTGGGAGTGTGAGCATTTGCCAAGCCTTTAATGACAGGGGCCCATTAGAGCACATGGCTGGATTCCTGGAACCACCCATTAGATTAAGAAATGGAGCCGGAGAATTAGCTTGATGCATGCCCTGCCAAGCAGGGACCCTCGTCCTCATGGTGGTGGCTCCCTGGAGGTTGAAGCAGATGGGGAAGCTGTGTCCAGGTCATTACCGCTGTGTCACCAACAGCAGGCGGGCTCTGAGCAGCCCTCCCCACCCCACCTACTCCCATGCCAGGCAGTTCAATTCCTGTGGCCACCAGGGCCCACGCTGTCAGTAGCAAAGGGCATTACACAATGAAGAAAGGGAGGAGAGGGGCAGGCATGTGAAATCATGAACAGAAATGAGAACCTACCCCATGCCAGATACTGGACTAGAGGGAGGGTCGGACACCATTCCTGCCCTCAGTGAGGGTGATAGAGGAGGAATGAGGCTGGTTAATATCCTATGGTAGGTGAGAAGTAATAAGGGTCCTATTATGGGCTACATTTTTTCCTCTTCAAATTCTTCTGTTGAAGTCCTAACCTCAGCACCTCAGAATACGGCCTTGTTAGGAGATAGTCTTTACAAAGGTAATCAAGGTAAAGAGAGGTCATTAGGGTGGACTCTAATCCAATATGACTGGTGACTTTGTAAAAAGAGGAAATCTGGACACAGTTAGGTATAGAAGGGAAATGACATGAAGAGACACGGGGAGAAGATGGCCCCCTACAAGCTGAGGAGAGAGGCCTGGGACAGATCCCCTCACAGCTCTCAGAAGGAACCAACCTTGGAAACATCTTGATCTTGAACTTCCAGCCTCCAGAACCGTGTGACAATATATTTCTGTTATTTAAACCAGGGGTCCCCTTGGTACCAGTCTGTGCCCATTAGGAACCAGGCCACACAGCAGGAGGTGAGTGGCAGGGGAGTGAGCATGACTGCCTGAGCTCTGCCTCCTGTCAGATCAGCGGTGGCATTAGATTCTCACAAGAGTGTGAACCCTATTGTGAACTGTGCATGTGAAGGATCTAGGTTGCACGCTCCTTGTGAGAATCTAATACCTGATGATCTGTCGCTGTCTCCCATCACCCCCAGATAGGACCGTCTAGTTGCAGGAAAACAAGCTCAGGGCTCCCACTGATTCTACATTATGGCGAGTTGTATAATTATTTCATTATATATTGCAATGTAATAATAATAGAAATAAAATGCACAACAAATGCAATGTGCTTGAATCATCCTGAAACCACCTCCACCTGCCCTGGACCAGCCCGTGGAAACACTGTCTTCCACGAAACTGGTCCCTGGTGCCCCAGAGTTTGGGGACTGCTGCTTTAAGTCCCCAGTCTATGGTAGTTTGCTACAACAGCCCCAGGAAATGGATACAGACCCTATGGGAGAACACCTGAAGGGCCCTTGAGCCAAATGAGGGGTCAAGAAAGGTCGCCTGGATTGAAGAATGTCTAGGCTGAGACCTGAATGACAAACAGGAGGTTTCCAGTGGGGAGGGGAAGGAGTAGTGTCAGTGAAGAAGGACGAAGGGACTTCTGGGTAGAGGGCCTGGCCAATGGCCCTGCAGTTGCGGGGACCCTTTGGGAATTGCAAGTCTGTGGGACTGGGGACAAACCTGAGTCAGAAACCCAAAAGAGGGTGATACGGTTTGGATGACTGTCTCCTCCAAATCTCCTGTCGAATTGTGATCCCCAGTGTTGGAGTGCAGCTTGCTGCGAGGCAAATGGGCCACGGGGGTGGATCCCTCGTGAATGGCTTGGTGTCCTCTCTGTGGTGATGAGTTCTCACTGTATGATTTTAGTTTAAAAGAACCTGGCACCTCCTGCTGTCTCTCCTGCTCCCTCTCTCACCAAGAGCCACGCCTGCTCCCCCTGCCTTCCCCCTTCCAGAAAAGCTTCCTGAGAGCCCAGCAGATGCCGGTGCCATGCTTCTGGAACAGCCTGCAGAACCATGAGTCAAATAAACCTCTTTTCCTTTTAAATTACCCAGTCCCAGGTACTCCTTTATAGCAACACAAAACGTACCAGTGCAGAGGGCATCAAATGTCAAGGGAAGGAAACAGGCCTGAGGGCGGGAATGTCCAATGCAAAGCAGGTTGCTCAGCATGGGTCTCTGGAAATTCTTGGAAATGCCCCTATCTTCTATCGGCAGCTTCCTCCCTGGATTCTCACTTCAGACAGCAAGGTTGTAAACCCGGGCCACTGACCTTGTCTATACATATGTCACTGTAGATCAAGAACAATTTTTTTTTCCCCTGTAGTGATTGATTTATGTGGGTCTCTTGGATCGGGTTAATTGTCAACAGTGTGAGCTCCTACTGCAAGACAGGGAGTGGGCTTATCAGCACACTGTGTTACCCACAGTTCTTCAGACTGAGAGCTGCAGATGACGCAATCCTATGTTGACTTGCTCCTGGCCCTGCAGGGCGGTTGGGCTCACCTGCCCACAGACAAGGCGTGATGACTGATTGCGTTTTGTCAGTAATCGGCTTGACATGGAGCCAGCAAACTCCCAAAGTTAGATTAGGAGGTGAGGTAATTGGTTGAGGACTTTGGATTTTAGTTTATTAATGTCCAAACAATGGGGAAGCTTTCTGAATGGAAACAAGCCAAAATATTTGGCCTTCAAAATCTCTTCCGGGGTCATGGAGGTCTGCTGGTTAAGGGTGGGGCGTGGGTTGAACAAAGCCAGTGGGTGAGATATATCTCCATGAAAATGCACAAAAATCAGTGCTGCTGCCTTGTTGGTGAAAAAAACAAGAAAGGAAATGCACAAAAAGTGGAACATCATGGGATGCTGAGAAGGCAACACAGCACTTGCTTGGAAAATGAGTGAAAGTAGAAGGCTGTTAAAACTCAGAGTTTAGGCCTGCAGTTTTTTGTTTCTTAGGAAGGTCACATGAGAATGAGCGATGAACTTTCTCAGGGCCAATTTCTGGACAGTGGATCCTGTTTTATCTTTCAGAGAAAGGCAGGGACTATTCTCCAACGTTTTGTAGGCTGTCAAGAGGGAGGATAAATCTGAGACTGCCTTTAAATACTGGGTTTCAATTGCTTCCTTCCTTCCCAGGGCAGATATACAGTCTTCTGGTATGATTTAATGTCCAAACTCAAGCGACTGCTGTGCTTCTGCAGGATGGAGACAGCACTTTGCAATTATTTTTGTGTTCTCTGCAGAAGACAAGGGTCAGCCCCCAGTAGGGGGACACTCAGGGCTGATGGTTCTCTTAGGGAGGGAAAGTGAGAGAGCATGGTCACTGCTGGCCTGACTCCCTACAGCTTCTGGGTTTGGGAGAGACCTCGCTGTAACCATCACCACCACCTTCATCATCATCATCATCATCGTTGTCGTCTGCTGCTACTGTTGTGCTAGAAGGGGTGGAAGTGGTAATTACTCATGCTTTCTCCCCTCTTGGTTTTAGCCAACTAAGGAGCTAAATGAGATCAAAGAGTCAATTATAGTACCCAAAGCATTGGACTCTCTGGAAAACTGGGTAGCAAGATCTTTCGTGTGGCTCTTCAGTCTGAACATACACATCCAACTACATTCCTGCTAAAGAGAAGCAGACCTCCCTCGTGGTTGGAGATGAAGCCAGGCAGGTCTAAGAGAACCAGCAAGATATGTCCATGTCCCACTCAAGGATTCTGCTCTTGGCCAATGTGGCCTAGTGGATTTGCCTGGCTCTCCCTGATCTCACCAAGCAGATAAGTCACTCTTCCTCTGGCTGAAGCAGCACACGATGGGGGCAGTTGGGGGAGAGACTGGAAAAGTATATTCCAATACTGCTCTCTTCTAGGCATGGGGCAAGGTGGAAATGTAAGCAGTGGAGTCATAAGCATGTCCCTTTAATAACTATGATATTTGTGATCACCTCCTAGATGCCTGGTAGTTTGATCAGGATAGTGCAGTCTACACCTGATTAATTTAAGGTGGTTTTGCTTGCTGATGAGGGCCCAGAAACCATGGTTTTACAGTTCCTCTAAATTGTCACCGGCTCCCTAAGTCAAGCTTTGGGCTAGCAAAGGCTTTTGTTCTTGTACAGTTATCAGCAGGGGCCATGACTGGCCACAGGCTGAGTCTGCCCTGGGTAGTAGAGGTCAGGAGCTGGGAAAGGAGAGGAATTGTCTTTAGTTTAGTCTTCCATGCCTCTGACCAATGAGATTGGTTCAAGGATGAGGACTGATCCAAGGTAGACCAAGAGATATGATCTTGAAACTTCTGTTGGAATTTCTCTTCCTCAGAACTAGCAACTCTTCTATTGGTGGCAGTTGCTGACTATGGGTGACTGCAGCTGCTCGGAGAGCCCTGTTAAGACATCTAGTCTCGGAGGAGAGCCAGTCAGGAGGAAACCAGAGATCAAGTTCTGATTATTGTGTTCCAGTACCTGGATCCCACTATGCCTCAGCCAGAGAGACCTTTGGGTCTTTAAGTGAGCCCATATATCCCCCCTCCTTTTTTAAGCTGGGTTTCTGTTGCGTGCAACCAAAAGTCTTGGCTAATGCATTTGTGGATCTTTCCAATGGAATAAACAGTGTTTAGATCATTGATTGTAGAAATAAAGCAGGAAACATACACACATAGTGAGATATGAGGATTCTCCGAGCCTCTATGATCAAAAGTAGCCCACTCCCACCTTCAAGCAGAACTGGAGCCTCTGAGGTTGCAAGTATATTTACTCTTTGGAATTTTAGGATTAACTCCAGGAGTGGTAGCTGAAGCTGTTAGCAGCCAGAAACATTTCAGTTTGAGTTGATCAGTCCAGGTTTTTCATTTATCTGGAGTGGAGAGAATGGGGCTGGAAAGGAGTGAATATGTAGAAGGTGCTTTGGTATTTGGGGAGGAGCTAGGAAAGGCGTAGGTGATGTGGTCAAGGTGACTGGGGAGGAAACAGAACGCAGAGGGTTAGGATGGGGGTGGAGGGGACACTAAAGATGTAGGAAGAGATGAAGGTGGAAAACACCAAAAGTTTTACCCGTAGAAAAGTCACAAGAAGTATAGCAAAGACAAAGTCTTCCTGAGTCATAAAGGCAAGGGTCATCCCTACCCTTGAACAATACTGGTCTAGGTGCCCACATAATACATGAGGAAAATTGATACTGATAAAGACTATTAACTGTTTCTTGCCAGGTAAGATGCAGAATGTCGTCCCTCCTAGGCATCTGTACTTCTATGTTAGAAGCTATGATATGAGATTATTGACAGAGTCGGTAATATTTTCTTAGTGAAATACACAATCTCTGAATTACGCTAAGGATCATAGAACACTCCGGTATCTACATTTCAGAGTCTGACACTAGCGTGATTGCAGGTGTGGGAATAGCGAGTGGGAAGATGGTGTGATCTGTGTGATTGTGGGTGAGTGTCGTGGGGGAATGGATGTGGTCTGAGTTATATGGCATGTCCCTGTGTGTATCCGTGTGTGTAGCTGCAGTGGGAGGCACTGGTTTGAATCAGCATGGGGCTTGCCTTGTCCGACAGGCAGCTGTCAGCCAAGGGGCACTTCCAGTTGTAATTGAGAAATGGCAGTGTGCTATCTCTCCCGGAGCGGGATGATAGTAATTAATTGTTCATTGATCCCTGCAGGTCAGCTAGAGGTCAGAGAAGTTACTCTAGTGGCCTTCTAGTTTGCCAGGCAGCCGGGAGCAGTGATTTGAAACCTCAGTGAGAGGTGAGAACTGTCCTGTGCCCTACACCCTGATCCAAGGTGATGGGATAATTATGGTAACTTAATGTCTATGATTACAAATAATACAAGTCAGCTGTTCAGAAAAACTGTGCCAGCACACTATTTAAGACTTTTGGAGGAGGTGGAGAAAAGGTGTTTGACAGTGGATATTTTTCAGCACAGAATGGAACGCTGCAATAGGATTGTTATTATCATCACTTTCAAAAGCTTAGGTAAATGTCCATCTGTGGGTGAGGCTGTGAGTGGAGAACCCCATAGATCTCATCTCAGATCCACATAGGTGATTCCATTCTAAGAGAACTCCTGCACAATCTGAAGGGCTCGTGCACAGTGAGGGGATAAATGAAGACTCAGTTCAGGCTCTAGCACTTCTGCAAAGTCTTCTTCCATCTGCCACATTCTCCTAGCATTCAGTGATCTCCAACAAATAACAGGGACACCCTCCTTTCTTCTGTGCAGTCTTCATTCTGCAAATATTAATGGTGCCTGTCTTTTGTTCCAGACACCATGCTAGGTGTGCCTGTTGCATCCAAGTTCCCATGGAGCCTGTATATGTCCTGAACGTTTTTCTCTGTCAACATCTCCCCTCTCCAACTAGATTGTAAGCTTTTCAAAGGCTGACCATGTTGCCTATCTTAAACAACAGCCACAGCAAACATTTATTGAGTGTTAGACTGGCCTGGGCACATGGAAAGCTCCATAAAGCTTAGCACAGGGTCACATCAACTAGTTCCTCAATAAAAATTGATTAGTTAAAAAAATATGGAACCGACTTGTTCAGCTAATCATGGGGATGGTGAGGAGCATAGGTGGGGGGTTGCTATGGTGAAGTCTTGGTAGTTTCACTGTCTCCTGTGGGATGAGATTCAGAATGATGTCCCTCTGAGGCATCTGTACTTGTATGTTAGAAGCTATGGCGTGAGGTTATTGACAGAGTCTGTTGTGTAAACTTTCTTTGCGAAATATACTATCTCTGAGTTATGCTAGGGCTTATAAAACAATCTGGTGTCTACATTTCAGGGGCATTTTAATCGAGGGAAGTGAGTGTTGGGGTGAAATCAGGGATCTGCTTTTCTTTTGAAATGTTGATAGAAGGTTCTTTCTGTGCACCTGCACTTCTCTATTGGATGGCGCTGGATGTGGTTGCCTTTTGTGGCTCTTGGTTGCAATACAGTTCTCTTGTTGAAATGACCTCCCTCTAACTGATGCCTCCGCCCTAGGCTCATCAATGGCTACCAAAGCCAATGGACACCTTGTGGAACACAGTGTGGCATTTCACCCATGGCCTTCATGAAATGTGCCCTTTTGCAGTTTATGATTCAAGGCTCTTGTAGTTTTCCCTCCATCTTTTTAGTGTTGTTCTCAGTCCCCCTTCATGGGCTCTCCAGGTTTTCCTGTATCTTTTCTAAGTTCTCCCTTGTGATTGTCACCTATAGTCTCTATCTTTAGTGAGATAGATGTCTCTCCCATTCCAAGTTCTCCATTGTAATTGCCACCTGTGTTCTCTATCTTCAGTGAGATAGATGTCTCTCCCCAGCCCCGAGTCCTTGTTTCTTTGGACTTCATAGGCAGATGTCTGCACCGGAATAACCCATACCCATCTTAAACTAGTAAATAAAAATGGAATGCATGATCATGTCTCCATCTCCCATCCTCACCTCTATACCTGTTCTCCATTTAGCAAATGGCACCTCCATACACCTGCCCAAGTGAGAAGCCTGGGGGTCATCCTTGACCCTCTCCTTTCCCTCGCCTCTCACCCGGTTGGTCTCCAATCCCTGGGATGAGTCTATCTCCTAAATATCTCTTGTATCCCTGTTACCTTCTTCACCTGCCAGGCCACCAGGATCATTCACTCCTCGCCATCTCCTTCGTAGAGCATTGAAATGGTTGCTGAAATTGTCTCCCTGTTTCCCCCCTTGCCCACTCCCATTTGTTTCCCACCTCCCTCTTAGAGATCTTTTAAGAAATACAGATTACGGTTCCTGCCTCACAATGCAAAGGTCAACGGTGACGCCATCTGGGGCGCGCTTGGAATCCAGCAGGCGGTTGTTGCCGCGTCTTCCGCAACCTCCGCGGCCTGGAGCTGGCCTCCCCC